ATGAAATTGTAGGCAATATATTGGAGTCATAACAGATTCAGAGTACTTTATTTTCTACTAATCATTTCTCTAATCTTAAGCTTTTAATATTCTAAGATATTTTCAGAAATTTTCCTTAGTTAGTCCTTGTTAGGAGGAATGTGTAAATTTTCCACTTTAATAGTTACCTAAAATGAAGATTCCTCCAATCCCATGTTCTTTTACACTACTTTAGGGCTTGAACAAATAAGGGATGTTTTGCATCATTTAGGTTCTATTCTTTTATTTCTTCAGTCTGTGGAATCTCTGCTCCAGAGATGCTTCAATGTCTTGTAAACATACATTTACATTTTACTATTCACCTCCACTTAAAAGTCTTTCTTCACTTCTTTCTATGCTTAAATCTCAACTTTCATCCTTGGTAGAAGCCAAGCATACTGCTTTGTAGGAGGCATTCCTCACTCAATGCGACTACATTAATTGCGTCACTTTGGGACAGCATTTACTTTTATATTCAGAAAACCCAATACCTCACTCAAAGGTCCAAAACATCATGAGAAGTCTAGATACACCCAAAGGAAGACTTGACTTGAGGCTCATTATTCACTATCTCAGAGCTGTTGGGAACCTTCAGTCCTTGGCTAACTGTGAAAATGAAGAATATCCAGAAAGTGCAGCAATAACCAGGAGTCACTGAGATGTGTCGAGAGCAGTGTACATTCAATAAATGACTTCAAAGATTTATGTTCTACTCTTCACCAAGGTAGGACTTGAAAAAACAAAAAGCAATTTAAAACAGTATTTGGAATAAGAAAGAATGGATTGAATTTGCTGTTTCCCTTTACTATTTCGTGTATGTTAGCAGATTAGCAATGTCCTTGAATCTTATTCATATTAGCTGTTAAAGGAAAATAATAATTATAAAGTAGAAAGATAATTAAAAATTGGTAAGTATAAATTTCATTTACAGTAAATTATTATTTTAATGCATGACAATGAATTATATATTAAATATGGAAATGGAGATAGCCAGTAATTTGGCAAAATTAAATATTTTCGTTAAATAAGAAAATCTCTTGACTTTCTTCAATAAGTTTTGTTGTTGTTGTTATTTTTTTGTTTGTTGTTGCTTTTTGAGACAATGTCTCCCTGCAGCCTCAGCTGCCCTAGAATTCGATGTGTAGACCAAGGTGCCTCAGTCTCACACAGATTCACCTGTCTATGCCTCTAGAGTGTTGGAATTAAGGGCATGAGCCACCACACCCCACTACATGTAAGTTTTAAGTGAGAAGAAAACCATCTCTTCCTTTCTTTGCACGCTTTATGATGGTTCTGAAACCAAGATAGTAATTACCTGGGCTTCTTTTATGACTAAAAGAAAAGCAACAACAACAACAAAATCAGAAATCTCTCTATGCAAAGAAGCATTTGACTGCAATGACAGATATGGCAAAAGTTGGTTCTTATTTTACTTGACACATAAAGAAAACAATTCTGCTGAGAGTTTGTTTTTAAATTATGCAATATGACACAAAATCTGCAACAAATGATGGGAACAGCAGATACTGTTGTTTAAGATTTTAAAATAAGCTGTTTGTATATTGCCTACCTTAGACATATTTTTACTGATTTTTCCTAATTCCCTATGAAAGAAACATTCTTATCCCTTTTGTTCAGATAGTAAAGTCATCCTTAGAGTTCAAATAATTTATTTGTCTGTGGTGGTACAACTGGAATTTTAAGCTAAAGTTTATCTGATCAAAAAGAATAAATGCTACAATATTATAGCAACATTGAAAGAGAAATATCTAGAATAGTTCAAAGGCTTCAAGAGAGTTTTACAGCTGCAGTCTATAAACTAGTTTCTAGATGTGGCTTGCAAAAGAAAAAGAAATCCTTTAGATTTAACAAGGTGACAAGTTTTGAAAGAGAGAGAAAGCTGGAGCAAAAAAAAGCTTTCAAAGCTGTAAGTGGTTGGCTCTGGGCCATGAAATTGCAGGATGCAAAACCTTTGAAGGTTAAAAGATTTCTATAGACTAATAGGCTAAGGGTTTTGGTTGAGCAACTAGGAGTAGATTTCTTATATGTAGAACCAATAACGTACTTATTTATACTCTTGAGATCTCAGTAACTTGATTCTTTTATACTGTGTAAAGGTGGTGATTAAAACAACACTTATTAGCCATTTACTTTGTTCCTGATATTGTTTTAAATACTATTTATTACTATTTGATTCTAACATGAGTTTTACCTAGAAGGTGCCCCACCACTCTTTTTTGAGGGAATGACTACGCTGCAACTGATGTCAGCTCACACCATTCATAATTATATTGTATATCAGAGCAGATCAATAACTGTAGTAACTGCTTTTACTCAAATATTTTGTTATTTAATAAAATATTTTTCTAAAGTAGTTTATCCTTAAATTTCACTTGTTAAGCATATTTAGAGATAGAGTTTGCAATAATGTCAGCAATTGTCAACTAATTGGAATTACATGCAGTGAGAGAAACATTTCAGTTTCTTACAGAATATATTAAGGTAAGAAGAAGAAGGGAGTCTGTAGGAGGAGGATAAGGGAGGTAACTGGGTCAATGTTTCTAATATTTTTCATGAATGTATGAAATTTTCAAAATGAAAAATAATAAAAATTATTTATAGATCAACTGAAAAATAATTTAGTGATCTTATATACTATATAATCTGTGATTAATTGTTATATAAGGAAAACACAAAGTTTGTGTATTACAGAATAGTTGATTTATTGAACCATTTGTGTTTCAGCTTTCCAATAAGCTATTACGACTAAAAGCTTGTTGTTATTATTTTATATTTATTTTTATCCCTCAGTGCCAGGAATCAAACTCGGAGCCTGTGCAAGCTAAGCAAGTTCTCTTCTCACTTCTTAACCCACTTCCCTATGTCTGTGCTTGGATTTTGTTTGGTTTGACCTTGCACAGGACTTGAGCATACAGTCACCATTGTTGTGAGTTCATACGAGTAACTAACCAGCTTTCTGGATCACACTACAACATGAACATAACAGGAATTAATAAACATTGGTCAGTAATAACCCTCAATATTAAGGGTCTCAGTTCCCCTGTGATAATTGTAATGTCTCTAATTTAAACCCATTTCCCAGACTTTGAATATATTAGACTGCTTGAATTTTTATTATTTGAGTACAAAATATGGTTATTAGCTGTATTTTGTGATTCAGAAACAAATACTTTAGGTTCATTTGTATAAATAAAATTATTCATCATTATAAATTTCTGGGTTTTGACTTAATATGCTGATTACATGAGTTCTTCAAATACGTATTTCATTTCAGAAGAACCCAATTTGTGGTACACATACTTATGAATACTATTGTCGCTCTATTACAAACTTCTTAATCACTTTGGATCATTGTAAATTTAAAAAAATCCAGAATGAAAAGCCAAACAAAATAATGTATTCTTACTATGCAAAATGTCAAAACTCTTCTTCAGGGCAACTGAATGCTGCTGTGAAGAACAGAAACGGTCTTTTTCAAGAATGTGACTCTTGGGGCTGAAGGGGTGGCTCAGAGGTTAAGAATACTGGATGTTCTTTCAGAGGACCTGGGTTCAATTCTAAGCACTCACATGGCAGCTAACAACTGTCTCTAACTCCAGTTCCAAGGGATCCAAGGCCCTCTTCTGACCTCCAGAGGCATTGCATGACATGGGTGCACTTATATACATGCGAGCAATACGCTCATACACGTAAAGTTAAAAAGAAAATAAAGAATGTGACTACTGGTGGATAAACCAGGCCTCATGATATACCTACACCAGAAGACATCTGGGGCACAATTAGACTCCATAGGCCTTAATATATATATTGCATTAATATATAATATATGCATATAAACTAGAGTACATTAAATTGGGAAGGGGCAATAGGGGAGCTGTGGACTAGGAGGAGATCTAAATACATTCAAATTAAATTGTATGAAACTGCAAAAATTCAATAAAAATGAAGTGAGAAAGTACTTATGAAAAGCAGATAAAAATTTATCACAGTGAAGTTGCATACACTAACAGATTTAAACTCTTGGAATCTATAAAGTCTATAAATCTAGACAAAAAGGGAGAGCTACTGAATTATTTTCATGTTTGATTTATTATGGAAAACAATGGATCACTCAACTTTTCTCATTCAATAAAATATTATTTTGAATAAATATAACCATGAGATCAATGAGCAATAGAACTTTCAAAATGAATAATTAAATGAAATACAAACTTAGGTGTAGGTTTGAATTTCATCATATTTTAGAAAATTAACAAATGTGATGTGAAATGAAACATTTATGCTAATCCATTATAACATCTTAGAGGATATTTAAAGTGTCTTGAATGTAATTAAATGAAGACTGAAAAAAAATTAGGGTTTATTCCCCTGAAATGCAATGAGATACAGATATTTTTAATGTTCATAACTGTAATAAATTTTGGTTGAAAACCAAGCTACATATGTAAAGAAAACTGCTCTATCCCTAAATTAAAGGTAATAGATAATAGATGTATGAAGTAGATATGAGTTTAAAGTCACCTGTATTAAACACAATCAGACTAACATCACTCCAATTGAAGTACTTAAAAAACATATTGTTGATCTTATACTCTGTAAAATTCTATTTGAAGTAAAAAAGCCCTTTATCTATATCTATTAATGACAACCAAGTGCTCTAGTTTAATATGTAAATTTGAGTTTTAAAAATTATTCTAAAAATAATTTAGAAACAAATGCTCAAAATGTTCAATATGATACACAGGGTGGGGAAGGGGGAACTTTGAATCACAGAACATAAGTAAATACTGATGATATTAATATTAGAAATAATTTAATTTGATCTATATCAAAGAAGACATTTAAAAAAAGAGAGAAAAAGCCAAAGACACATTTGGTGGTAGCTGTGGTGGCTCACATCTACCCCCTATCTTTAAAAGGATGCTTGCTGGCATTAGCTTCCATCAATTCATTTGTAATTACTAAATTAGTTCTGAAGGAAACCACAGCTTACTTGAAGATCCCGCTGAGTGTCTGTGTGCCTGACTTTTTTTTTCTCTGTTCACAGACAAAGCGCTTCCACTGGTCATGGAAGAAAGGTCTAAATCCGTGTCTTCTCTGCTTACAAGCCTTGCCTGGGAGCAATAGGAGAGAATGTATACAATCATGAAACAAAATATGGCATTTTCTGAATGCAGCTCACATTACCCCAAATAAACAAACAGGCTCTGTCAAACAATCTTCTTCAAAATGATACCACAATCCTTTACTGCTGCCCAGGCAGAACAAATGCACTATGTCAAAGCATTTTTCACAAATAAGAGCCGATTTTAAAATTGAGGTTTGCTATTTGAGTCTGTACAACAAAAGAAAACATTTTAGTACAGTAATTTTGATGAAAATCAATCTTAAAAGCAGCTGGTGAAACTTTAAACAGCTTAACATCACTTACTTACCAAGTATATTATTTTATTCTTAATCGAATGTTAGAAATGTCATATTAGATTATTTCCTGCAAAATTCGTATTGTACTACACGTATTCTTTTTATTAACAGAACCCCTGAAAATGTTTTTCTTTCCTTATTTGTATGCCAATATGTCCAGAAGAGGTCTACCTTTTCATCACAATCATTGGTAATGCACATTAAGCCTAATCTTGACACAATATTAAATACATAGAAACTTAAAGGCAAATTTTATGATTAAGTGGATTATTCATTCAATCTGAAATTACCTTTATACTTTTAATACCATCTTACACTGATCTTAAAGATCAAAAGAATTGCTTCTTGCCTATAAAATCGTGTTTTACAGAATGTCTGATATCATTAAGGATTTATCAAGGTTGAGCTGTGAAGTGGGGAAAATGCTACGACAAAAAAAAACAAGGCAGTCGCTAAGTGGATGGGATGTCACCCAAACCACTGCATGATTGAAATCCTGTGAAAGAGTATTATCCTAAATGTTTGATAGGAGGAAAATTTAAATATAGAGAAAGACATGAAACCACCACTGTGGTTTAGAGCTATCTGTGTAACTAGTCACAAAGACTCCAGGAGCCAGACCAGATGTCATATCCTCCTTCTCCTCCCTCCCCTCCTCCCTGTCCTCTCGCTCTGCCTGTCTCATTCTTCTCCTTCTCATCCTCAGTCCTCTTCTTCCTCATTTTCTGACTCCCTTCCCTTGCTCTGCAATCCTGGCTGCCCTGGAACTCTCTAATGCTGGGATTTCAAGCATATACACCTGATTTGCCATTTTTTGTTCCATTCCTTTCTCCATCTTTTTCTCACTCTCAAACACAAATTTGTGTTTTCCTCCAGAATATTTGTGTATTTATTTATTGATTGATTTTACAATTTTCTGACTTAAAAAAGAAATACATGTATTTTTAATACTCAATAGAACTTGGTTTGTTTTGTGTTTCTTTCTTTCTTGATTAAAAAAAATACTGAATTTTGTGAGTTTTTATACAATATGGTTTGATGGTTTTTATCCTCTCACCTATCTGCAACCCCCCACTGTCCCCTACTCAAATTCATGTACATTATGGAGTGGCCAAATAGGGCTATTAGCATGAATTACTGTGTGAACTTATCAAGCCCTCTATACATAGCCCTCTATACACAGGCACATCTCAACTTCAAACCATAAAATGAAATTTCACCAGAACACATGATTTCATTAAAGAGTCACCAAAGAGTTTAAATTAGAAATTGTTTTGCCTATGTATACGTAGTGTCACCTATACCTGCAGTGCTAGGGGACGTCAGAAAGAGGGTATCAGTTCCCCTGAAACTGGAAATACAGATGATTGTTTGCCTCACTGTTGGTCCTAGGCAAGAGCAGCCAGTGCTCTTAACTACTGAGATATCTCTCCAGTCCAGATTTTTTTTTTTTTAAATTCAGGAGAGAACAAAAATATGCAATCCTTATGGCCTTCCCCCACATAAACCTACACATTTCAAATGCATGTTAGGTCTCTTAGTGCATCTGGAGTAGCTCATAGACATTAATATTTAAATTATATATTTGAAGCATAGGCTTTAGCACTAAGATGATTCTTGCACTTATTGTTAACTAGTAGAGAAATTGTAAAAATAATGGTGCATTTTCTATATGGCTGCTATCATTTGGATATAAATATCTCCGGAAAGGCCCATGTATTGAAAGGTTGGTTTGAGCTTGCAGACCCAATTACTAAAAGGTGATTGGATCATGAGGACCCTGACAGAATCAGTGGGTTAATCCTTCGATGGACAGATAATTTGATGGCATAATTGGGAGATGGTGGATCCATTTGGAGGTGGGGCCAAATTGTAAGAGGAAGTAGTTCACTAGGAGCATATTTCATTGGGCTACAATTATATTGGGGCTCCTTCTCTCTCTAGTTTCTTGGTTGCTGACAGTTGAATAGCTTTCCCCTGCCATTTGTATGGTCACACCATAGCCCCAGAAAAACAGATCCTAGTGACTACAAAGTTGAACCTCTGAAACCATGATCCAAAAGAAATCCTGCCATGTTTTACTTTCAGGTATTTGAGAGGGTGATAAAAAGCAGACAAATAGATACATGAAAAACACATACTCAGTTGTTCATTTGAGCCTATGAGTTTCAGGACCCTTGTGGATACTGAGGATGTTCAAACAACATATTATAATGGTGCAATGGTTACATGTAACTTACATAATTCTCTATTACAGCATGAATCATCTACAGATTATTAATAACAACTAATACAATGTAAATGCATCATGATGCCTCATACATACTGTATAACAGATGTTATGCAGTATTGTTTAGGGGCATCATTACACTCTCAATATAGACAGTATTTTCTTGAATATTCTTCATTCTCATTTTGTCAAATAAAATGTCAATAAAATGGGCTTGATGAATACAAAAGGACAATTGTATTTAAAACTGATGATAGCTAATCAAACATTAAATACTGATGCTATAAAAATGTACGTCGAACTCTAAAACACTGTAATATTAAATAATGGCATAAAAAGACTCAATTCCGATACTAATGTTCTAATATAAAATTCAATATCAAATATTTATTAAATAGCAATATTGCAAAGATTTTCTAAATTTCTTGTTTCTAAGTCTCCTTTTCTTCCTAAGCCACTTATGAGGTTATGTATGTCAACCCATGTCTAACAATGGAATAAGGGATGTGGATTTGAAAAAGGCTTGTCTAAATATTTGAAGTCTGATCTACATCTGACCATCACACCTAATTAAAAATAAAATTTCCCATCATTTTGTAAAGAACAGGAACACCTTTTTAATCAACAATATTTTAAGAAATATTTAATTTCTTTTTACTTTTATGTGATGGCATACTAAATATACTTAAAAACAAAAGCCTATGTACTTATTTTAAGAAAGCAAAATAAAGTGCTGTAGGGATGTGCTCCTCTTATAAACTACCTTACAGTTATGCTGCACAAATATATTAATTTTATTTTTGGACACAATTATGTGGCCTCATAGGGATAATTAGGTAAACAATGGATTGCATTTTTAACATCAGTAAATCACATTTATAATGGAAATGGAAAATTCTTATTGCTTAATAATGTCATAGACAGTGCAACTTCATAGTGTAATACATTACTCATGTGTTTGTGCTGATCCTGGTGTCAAAAGATCTACCTCAGAGTCAGACACATAAAAGCATGTCAATACACTATGTACAGTCTAAACAGTTGATAATGATAAGAGACCATGATATTTATTAGTTTATATATGTACTATACCTTTGTGTCATTGTTTTAGAATATAGTTCTATTTATAAAAAATAAAGGTTTACTTTAAAGAAGTATGTCATGTTGTAGTAAAACAGCCTCATACATCTCTTGTTTACCATATGTGTTGCTTGTATGAAGAGATCATATGAAGAGATGAACCTGTGCCATCTAAGTTTGTGTAAATGCAGTCTATAAAGTTCACATAACCAAAATAAAGCAAGTATTATGCATTTCTTAGAATGTATTCCTGTTGTTAAGCATACTATACTAATTTCCCAACTAATATGGATTCTAACATCTTACTGTAACTTGCTTTTCCACTGTATAAAATCTGTTTTGATTTTTTATTGGCATTTATTGAGTTAATGCTACTTACTAAATAACCTGAGCTTTCCTACATATATCTTATGTAAGATAGTCCACTACAGTCACAGATCTATTCCTGATCTTATTATTCTAATGCTCCAGTTATCCATGCTAGCATCAAAAAGTTCACTTTAGCTTGCACAAAATCTCCATCTCTTGTGAAAACAGTTGCTTTTTGTCTATTTTTACATATATAATTTAGTTTTTCTTTCTAGTTTCAAAGTGGTATTTTCTAGGTTCCCCCAAAATGAACCCTAAATTAGTTGGAATTTCTGATGACTTGTACAATTATTTGGAGACAATTGGTATATTTTGTATATTAAGTTCATGTAGTTGTGAATGCTAAATTCGATGTCATCATATCTCATCCAGACTACATGAAACTCCTGAGTCAGAAATTTCTAGTTGTTGAGTCACTGCCTGCTGGCTCTCCACTAAACCTCTCTATGAGAATTGTCACTTCCGTTGCTGCAGCTCGATTCAAGCTCTTGCCCCTCTCCTTAGTCATGCTTCTTTCATATACCATAGGAGTTGGTCCCACATTTTCTTGATTAAACCTCAAGTACTTTAGTTTCAAAGTCTCAGAGTTTACTGGATAACAGGAAATAAGACTTTTCTGGAGAATCCCAGAGTTTGGGTGGATGCAATTAATTCAGTTCTTAGCACAATTCTCTATATTGTTGACATACTTTATTAAATTTTTGGGATTTATTTTATTTTCATTTTATGTGTATGAGTGTATTGCCTTTGTGTATGTAAGTGCACTCATGTTGTAGAATGCCCATGAGGACAAAAAGAGGGCTTTGAGTCCAGGAGAACTGGAGTTAGGGAACTCAACCTGGGTTCTCAGAAAGAGCAGTCAGTACATTTAACCACTAGGCCATCTCTCCAGTCCCAGGCATATTTGATGATAAAGTCTAAAATATGAGAAAATGATATTTTCTTTCATTTTCCAATTTCTTTCTGTTTTGTAATGTGCTTTGATATTGCTTATAAAATAGATGTTACTTTCCAGTTCCTCAAAATACAGAACTTGAATTCTATTATGCCTTATTTTATAATTATTGACTTTGAAGTTAATAAAGAGTATAATTAATGATACTTAAATTTATCTCTACTATTAAGAAGTAAAGCCGTTGTCTTTTAATATTCATTGTTTCTGAAAGAAAGTCATGTGACAGTCTAATTTATGTTCCTCTGTAGGTATTCACAAATTCTCTTTTATTATGTCCAGTCTGAAGTATGTTTCACAATTTGCAGTTTGTTCAGTTACATAACTTTTTACATGACTTCTTTTATATTTAATATATTTCTATTTTTTTATTTGGCAATAGAATTCATTTTGAGGGTCTTCTATTAGCAGCAATTGCAGTTATTTGTTTTAATTTTTAAATGATTTATGTTCTGGTCCTGGTTGTACAATTCTTGACCTCAAGGTCCCCACACAAGTGGGCAAGAAAGTGCTCTTCACCCTCTGAAACAAACTTAAACTGGGCTCTCAATCAGCCAATGTCTTTCTGATATTGATTCATAACCCACTAACACACTTAGAGACATGTGACTTGTTTTGCTATATTGCCATTAATTTTCATTTTGTGTTGTTGTATCTCTTAAATATGAAAGAGATTTTATAACTGTTATTTATGTGTAACATATTCATGTAATGTACTATAGAATGGCCTTGGAAAAAAGGATTAATGAAAAACGAAATCATGAAAAATTTGGGTCAGTAATCTGTCTAATCTGTTTTCCATTAGCTTGAATACTTATTTGGTGCTGGCATTCCTTGGTTCTTTTATTTTCTCCATTCTAGCCCAAAATGGCCACTAACCAATCATCCAAAATGAGTCATATATACATATATACATGCCTGAAGTACATTAATTCTCAGAGTAATATACATGACTTTTTAAATAGAGGCCTTCTATTAAAATACAATAACATATTTAAGGAGCAATCAAAATCATACATAGCTTCTTCTTCCCCCACACATACACACACATGCACACATGTATGGTATGTAAACATGATCATAACACATGTTTTAGTCATCCTGTTATGCAATTATTGCTCAGGTTTGGGAAAATGCTTTTTATGCCATAGTAGTGTTTCTCCTCTGTTTACAAAGTCTTCCTCAATAGCAAATAGCATAACTGAATTTAACAAGCATATGCACTCTATTTTCTAGACTCCACTTTAGTCAACATAGTTGTATCTGTCCTTAAAACTCTAATAATATACTTATTAGAGTATTTTAGCATTCTTTAATACTTAGAGATGTTAGGCTGATAATTGCTTCCTAGTTTTAATGTGGTTTGATTGTCCAAGTTGGGAATGTATGTTGATGTTTCTTTTAACCATTGTTTACAAAGTCTACTCATACTTTTCAAGAAAATAATTTCATTAAGCAATTTCTCAACCAGAGCAATTTTGTTTTAAAATGGTGACATGTTAATATTTTATATATGTCAAATAAAATTAATATTTTGAACAATGTCATATTATAACATTATATTAGGAATCAAGAAAATCTGTTATTGCTTTAACAAATGACTTTCTGAGGTTGCCTCCAAATTGATATAGCTGTGCTCTTCTCATAGACATATAAAACATATAAGCATATTATGAGCATATTTAAAGAGTTATTATTGAGTACTTGTGTCTGTAACATTTGTTCTATAACTTTAAACATATTTCTTACCACAAGTTGAACTCTTCCACCATTAAGTACATCTGGATTTAACTCAGGCAAGAAGTGACTGCTACACAGTGACAAAAGGAAAACATATTACAATACGAATATAGTAGAATATAAAATAAACGTCCAATGAAAACGTTTGAAAGATTATTATTTATAAAATAGAAACAATGGCTTCTAATTAGATGATATATAATGATATGAACACATTTGCCTCTTTCCACTGCTGTTTTTTTTATTTTTTATGTGTATGTGTGTACTGCCTGCATGTAAGTAAAAGCACCCGTGTCATGCAATGCCCACGGAGGGTAGAGAAGACTGTCGGATCCCCTGGAACTGGAGTTACAGACAGTTGTTAGTTGCCATGTGGGTGCTGGGAATTGAACCCAGGTCTTCTGTAAGAACAGTCAGTGTTCTTAACTGCTGAGCCATCACTCCAGCCCCCTCCACTGTTATTTTTAAATTAAAATCCACATCTATTTTAATTTCTGAATAATGTCTCAATAATATCATTTTTAATGAGCAAAAATCTGAAATTACTAACAGTGACAATTAACAAATTAAAGAAAAATTAAGTATATTTTAATTACATTTACTTACATTCTCTATTTTTTTTTTTTCTAATTTTTTGCTCTTTGCGACATGGCCTCCTGTAGACCAGGTTGTCCACAAACTCGCTACATAGCCAAAGACAACCTTGAACTCCTTGTTTTCTTTCCTTCACTTCCCAAATACTAGGATTGTAGGCAATACACTACCACCCTTGGTTTATATTCTAAAACTGTCATTTGAGACAGATCACACTTTCTATTTTTAAAATAACTTAGTATGCTCAATAGTAGTGTTTACACTGAATTTTTATTTTAACCAGAACATTGAAATTTGTCTTTTCAAGAATTTCTGTCTCTAGGAGATGCAGAAGTAGTTCAATAAGTAAAGTGCTTGCCATGCAAACAGTAGTACCCAATTTTAATCCCTGCTACCCATGTGAAAAGGTCAGTCTAGGTTGCTTGTGCTATAACCCCTAAGCTGGTGGCAGGAGCAGAGATAAACGGATACATAGGCTTCACTGGGTAGCGAGCCTAGTCTAATCAGTGAGATAGCAAGAGACATGATCTCAAAAACAAAGGTGGCAGACTCCCAAAGAAGTATATCTAAGGTTAAACTCTGCCTTCAACATGCACCCTTCATAAACATACACACACACACACACACACACACACACACACACACACAGAGATTATTTTTTCATTGAAACCAATTTGTTAAAATATTATAAACTAATCCTTTATGTACAATATATTCAAAATAGAAAATCCCTTGAAGAGTTGCTTACTTTTTCATGTTAGATACAGATTATTTATAATTAAGTCATGTCGTTAAATGTTGTAAACCTGTGATTTATCTTTTTCTTTTTTTGCATTTGTTTATAAATAATGTCCAATTGTGGTGTCAGGTGTAGTAATACAGCCCTTAATATAGCACTCAGGAGGCAGAGGCAGGCAGATCTCTGAGACTAAGGCCACTCTCTCTCTCTCTCTCTCTCTCTCTCTCTCTCTCTCAAACACACACACACGCATACACATGTGAATATTTAGATATGGTCTCCCTGTAGCCCCAGTTGTCCTAAAACTCACTACGTCAACCAGGTTGGCCTTGATCTTCTAGACATCCACCTGCCTTTGCCTCCCAAATTCTGGGATTAAAGGTGTTCACCACCACACCCAGCTATACTAATACTTATCTTCTGAACAAAATCTCTCACATCTGGTTATTACAGATAGTAAGGGATTCTGTAATTTTTTAAAAGTTTTTAGGATACTATTCACATGAATTTATCCAAATTGATTAACATAAAAATAGAATAAATTTGTGTTTTCAGTAGTTGGAATATTTCAAAATAAAAAATTTGAAATATTGATGATTTTATTTCTATTTTCTTTGGCAAAATAAAATATGCTATAATTCAAGTTATAAAATGTTTCAATTTTAATTTTATTTGATGTGCTACCCACATTTTGAAAGAAATTAAATGGGAGGAAACTTCATTACATGAAAGTTCAATTAATAAATATTTTGCTGAAGGGTTAATCTAGAATTTCAACTGACAAATGTATAAGTAACAAATCTTAGACTAATCTGGTTCTATATATTGATAACTTACCAAGTTAATGAAGAAGATACTTTTTCTTTATAAAGGAGAAGAGATTGAAAGGTTCATCTGATTTTTTTCTAAAGCATTACAGAATAAGTTCTTCCTAAACAATTTTTGGTGAAAACTATAAAGAGCAATTAAATCTACTTTGTATGAAAGGCTCTTTTATAACCTGGCAGTGTGATGTATTGGTCTTTGACTACGAAGTAGTGTTTGTTTTAGCACAATTAACCGAGGTTTCACTTTTCAAGATATGTTTACAATACAAAAATCTAATTTGAAGGAAATGACCTCACCATTTCATAATTCTGGAACTAGTTGTTTCATGAATCCCAACTTGTGTGTGGAGCCATTGGTATGTGTACTCTTTACTCCTTTCCAATTTCTCTTTCGCGGTGGTGTCCTTACAGATAAAGTCTTCCTCTTTACCTGGAGAAGAAATGTGGAGCATTTGTTACTTAAGGAATTGAAACCACAGAGAGCAGATAGGTGAGGTTAACAACTTGATCATACAAAAAAAAAAAAGAAGTTATGACTAAGTTATGGTGGCTGTATGTTATCAATCTTTAAAATTAAGCATTTTCCTGTTTGAGTTTCAAACCACTTATGCTGAAGAATAGGAAATGTTTTTAATGCAAATACCATTGAAAAGGCATGTGTTTTAACTATTAATTTAAATTCAGAATTATTTTTGAGAGACAGTGGGATTTTTTCAGTATCAACAGGCTTATTTTAACATTTAATTGTTCTTATACTCTCCTCACCCATGTGTAGAACTAATAGGTTATACTGAAGGTCTCTGAAGCAGAAATTTGGTATTATAAAACCGAGCTTTATATAAGCCAATACGATTTTCTATTGGGCTGATTAATTATAGAAATAGCGAGTTACGTTGTGACATTTTCATACATGGTTATTCTTATATGTCAAGCTAGCATATACTATATATCCATTTCAGAGAACATGTACAGGCAAGATTGCTCAGTGGGTTAGGTTGCTTGCCGCCAAGCCACACAGACTGAATTTGATTCCTAGAACCCACATGGCAGAAGTAGTGTTTCTCAGAAGTTGCCCTCTGACCTCTACACACTTGCTGTAGCATGTGAGCACCCACACGCATGCATACACACCCAAATTATATAAATAAACGTAGAAAAGTCAAAAGTAACCTTTTAATCAAAGGAATTACTGTCTGTCTCTCTATCTCTGTCTCTCTGTCTCTGTCTCTGTCTCTCTCTGTGTCTCTCTGTCTCTCTGTGTCTCTCTATCTCTCTCCCCCGTCCCCGTATATATGTATGTTTTTTTCCATGGGGAGAAAAAAAACCCTGTAGACCTTACTGTTATGTTAATGCTACACATTTTAGAATTCAGTGAAAAGCAGTTGTTGACAGCCTTGTCCAGCATCATGTATTTCGTCTTTTAAGTTGCTTCTTTCTTGGAACCCTCTCCAGAGTGAGGGATTTGTTTACTTTTTGTCATGATAGACTGTACATCTCCAAAATTAACTTAGGGTAAGCAAACTCAGAACATTATACTTTAAAATCTGACAGTTAAAATATCCACTTTTCTAGGTGTGATAGTGTGCTTCTGTAATTACAGCATTTGGGGAAGGCTGAGACAAGATTGCAAATTCAAGGCCAGCCTGACCTACATCATAAGTGTCATGGCAGGTCTGGGCTAGATAGAGACCTTATATCAATCAATCAATAAATAATGAATAAATAAATAAAACAAATCAACTGTAAAATTATTCATTGAAGTCATTCTCTTTAGAAAAAATCATTGAATTTTGTGTATGTCATACAGAACATCTCAATCAATCTTAATCATCTTTATACCCCCTTCCCCACTGGCACCCTCCCATAGTCCCCTCACTGGATTTCAAGCATTCTGCCATTTGTGTTAAGGCCTATTGTGTCAAGTTAGTAGCCCCAAGATGTTCCTCAGTGCAAGTTCATCTACTGACGTCCAGTCAACCTATCTAGAGTCCCTCACTTTATTCTTTTGCTAGGATTGTTTGTATTTAAGTAGTCATTTTTATAAGTTTTTCATAAAATGAAGTGTGGCATAAAGCCCATTTTGAAAAATAATAATGAAAACAAAGTGTCAGGTGTGATATCACATGCCTTTAATCCCAGAACTCAGGAAGCAGAGGCAGGCACATCTCTGTCAGATTGAGGTCAGTCTGGTTACATACCCAGCTCCAGACCAGTTGGGGCTACAGGGAGACCACGTCTCAAAAAAACCAAACCAAACCAAAACAAAACAAAATAAAAATCACCAAAAGCCCATTTTGAAAGATAGAGAACGTGTACAGTTGCACTCAGGTTAACACACAAAGTTCAGCATTCATAATTCTGAATATGCGGAGAATGGACATCTGACATACCCTGTTTTCATAAAGGTCACTGTTGTGATCAGTGAAATGACTCTTGTTTTTGATTTAAGTAGGCACGGAAGCCAATTGTTTAGAAAGTTAAAAGGGAAGGAAGCTGGGGCTGGAGACACAGCTTAACGGTTAAGAGCACTGGCTACTCTTGCAGAGGACCTGGGTTTAATTCACCCACATAGTGCCTAACAACTGTCATAACTCTAGTTCCAGGGGACTCCGATGCCCTCTTCTGACCCCTCTGGGCATTGAACGACATGGGTACACTTGCACACACAGGCAATACACTCATACTTATAAAATAAATAAATAAAATTTAAAAAAGAATGTTTTGTTTCTCTAAATCCTAAGCCCCTGTTACTTCTGATGCTAATCTGAAGTGTCCACAGCCTTGTTTCTGAAGCTCTCCTTGAATTGGAGGAAGAATTACTTCACAGTCTAGAGCTGGCCAATGAATCCATGAGCAGACAGTATTTTGATAAATAGCCTTGTAGGTATACATAAAGTTTACAACAAACAGAAACAAGAATGGCTCCATGCTGCCACAGTTGCTGCACAGCACTGTCTCCCCTGCAGAGGCTTGGCTTTTGATCTACCATTCTTGGCTAATCATACCAAATACAGTTCAGTAACATTAAGTACTGAGAACTCTGTGAGTTTGACATTTAACTGAGCCTAAGGCTGGAGGCTACCTACTCCTTACATGTAGAAAATCCTAGTATGAAGTGCATATACAGTTTAAAAAATTTGGATTTCTGCTATTTTACGTACTGACATTTACTGCAACAGTCACTTATTAAGGCATTCTTGAAATTTTTCTTCAACTATGAAATAGTACTTCTTAACACTAGATAGTTTACACAGAACTCAGACAAGTTTCAAAACAGTTTCTGAGTAAATTTGTTGCAAGAGACCAATCCCTACTGACCATCATTAAAAGATAGATGGTATATTAGTTCAAACTCAGTGTAAGAAGCAGAACATACACACACACTAGGGAAGCTCCATGAATATCATTGAAAGCATTACAGTTTTAAACTAAAGGAAATTTAAAAATATTTTTAAACCACGTCAGCCAAACCATCATTGCAAGATTACTCATGCCACTGAGAAAATTGAAATTTGTTCTTTGAATTATGCAAATGTCCTGCATCTTTGGTGGTGAGAATAACGGTGACCTGTATTACTTTATAGGTTTCTGGTATTTCTGCAGTGTAAGTCTCTCCTTTCAATACCAAAGGAAGCATCATATTGTCTGTCAACCCACTGCCTGATCTCCTTTCCTTCTTTGAGTCTTTTTTCATCAATTTTCGTTGAACTTAAAGAAATCTTCTTTTGACCCCTGCTGTCCACTGGTTACAGCTGTCTGTGCTTCTTTACTTCAAACCTTAGTTTGGAGCAATGTTATTTAAAAGTAATTGTTGAATTCATTAGCAAGATGCTGTCATTAGAATAGACAATTTATAAACTAAAATGTTAATGAAAAAGAAATCTGAAAAAAAAAACTTTCCAGACAACTACTAGATAATATTTTAAGTAAAGATTTTTTTGCAGTTCTTTTCCCATAAACTTGTTTTTTGTGTTTTGTTTTTACAATGTCATTATAAGGTTTTTTCATATCCAGTTTCTAGATAGTTATAACACAAGTAAAGTATGTGTAAGAAATTTCATCTTAAACACAATTTAAATGATTTTATGCTATGATAAGCCACTAACTTGTTTGATGATTAGATTTTAATTAACTGATTTAATACAATTTGAAGATGGACTTAAATATAACCTACATAAAAGTATAAATATTTTGGGGATCCAAGTATACTTGGCAAATATTCATAGTTTTTAAAGACTATCACCATTTTCCAAAAATGTATTTCACTTGAAAGCTGTTGATAATTGAACAATATTGTCTAATCATGGTTATTATTTGTGTCTTTACTCCTTGTGAGATTGACCATCAGGCCATACAATTATTTACTAATTTTAGATGATATATTATAAAAATGTTTCTCATTCTTTCTAATTAATTACTATATCAGAGCATCTTTATGATTTTAACTAAGAATAAATCCTTTGTTCATTATTAATGGTGAAAAGATTTCTTCTTGTCCAATGGTTGATTTTATAGATTCTATTTCCAAATGGGTCTTCTTTATCTCTAGGAAAGCAGATTTATGTATGTGCTACATGTGTACTAAGCTATACATTATTTTTCCTCTGTAATTCATTGGCTTGTATCTCTGAATTCAATAAGTTGAATGAAGTACAAGACTTGGGGAACTACTACTCATGATATTTTGTCTTTCACAACGATATCCTTTAGCACTCTATTTTATCACTTTCTGTTCTTTATAATTTACAGCAATCTTCTTTAGCCAAATTGAAATTGTATTTACTAAGAAGGTTGGAGAGATGGGGACTTAGTTCTGTGATAGACTGCTTACCTAGCGTGCACAAAGCCTTCTGTTCAATTACTACAACGAAGGAAAAGAATTTGTAAATGGAATATCATAAATCTAAGCTGGGGGTGGTGTCTCATATATGTAATCCTATCATTGCAAAGATTAAGATAAAGAAGATTGCTGTAAGTTCAAGAATATCCTGGGTTATACAGTAAATTCCAGGCAAGCCTTAGTTACAAGTAGAACATGATTCAACCTACTCCCAATAAAATATAAGGACTGAAATTTCCCTATCTAACAACACATTCATTCTTTTTAAAATATATTTTATTATTTTAATTTTAATTGTATGAATGTTTTCCCTGCATATATGTAAGTGCACTCCTGTCATGCAATACTCATGGAGGTCAGAGGTGGGTATTAGATCCCTTGGATCTGGAGTTAGGACAATTGTTACCTGCCATGTGGGTGCTGGGAACTGAACCTAGGTCCTCTGCAAAAGCAGCCAGTGCTCTAAAGTACTGGGCCATCTCTTCAGTCCCATATATCCATTCTTTTTCTCATTGATTTCTCTTCCAAATTACATTACATGGGCCAATTGTCTTCCCTTGCACACTGCACATCCCACATTTTGCATTTTT